GTGAACATGGTTGAATAAGATAGCTTTGTATAACTGTTTGTAAAGTTCAATAAGCGTACGAGTGACTAGTACTTCTACACAGGTCAGCAATCACGATTGTGAGGCTTGGTTAGTCTGCACTATATATTACATAGCAAACATTAATTGGTACATGCACTGAGTAAAATGGATTTTACATTGTAAGACATGGCAACTACACAAATGTAGAATTTTATAGGAACTGATAAAAAAAATTTTTTCATGAAATTCAAGATATTTTCACAATGAAATAACTGGTATTATTAGTAGCCAAAAAAGCATCTTCATTATAAATAATTGTTGTGTATTTTTATATCAAAAACACAGACTGGCAAAACTATTACATCATTACGTAATGGAGGCAAGCTAGGTGGTGAGATATACTTCTTGACCTTTTCTAGGTCTACAGAAAAGGTCAGAAGAGGTCAGAAATAAATCATCCAGACATTGTGTGAATCATTTCATTCAGATGTCTGAATGTCAGCAATCAATGTGACCTTGGAACCTACCAAGTGTAATATACTAGCAACAATCCTCCATATTGCACTTTGCTCATCTTTGGTGAATCCTAGTGTCTTCATGGCGGCCATGTTGGCATTGTAGTCCACCTTGTCATTGATCGTAGCAACCTACAAATCACAATTGTATGAACAGTTATTCACGGTTGTGTGACTTCTTTATCAGATCAAAATTAGAATGGTACAGTTTAATAAATAGAGTTGACAAAATAATTTGCATACAACATCTCTATTTCATAATGGTGTTAAATTTTTTTAAATGAATTACTGTAGAATACTTTATTTCAGCAGGAATTCATTTTCGCTGAAAAGACTTTTTGGGTGTTTGTATGGAATTTATTTTCACTGATTTTTGAAGATTTGAATGTAAAATACAGGAAAAAAGGTATATTCACTGGATTTTATTTTCACTAAATCACTCCTTCAGCAAAAATAGCGAAAATAAAGTATTTTACAGTAAGATGGAGTAGTTCTTGATAGTTGTGGAAAAAACAAACAATCAACATTAAATGAACTGTAAAAGAAGAAATATTCACTAGGTATTAATTTCATCAGATTTGATGCTGCAGGGATATCCACTCAGTTTTCAATTCACTACCATGTGATGACAACAACACATTGTATTCAAAAGTCACTTGGTTTTAATTTAATGCATTTAGTTAACAGTAAATGGAAACAAGCCATGCATGGCACAGTCCCCGTTAGTTATTGACTTCAAGATATATAGTTTTGTTTATAGTAATTTAGGTAGAATATAAACATATCAGGAATATGATTATGATGATTGTTTAACATTTAAATGATTGACATTTGTATCTGATCGTCAAACGAGTATTGAGAGATATTGCTTTGGAACAGCATTAATTAAAACAAAATTAGCCATTTTGAACACATGTATAATGAATATATAAAATTTGAACATAGTCAGTCAAAGCATGTCAGAGATATGGCTCCAGAAGCCCATTCATCAAAACAAAATGGCCACTAGACAGCCATTCTGAATCCGATCTAAAAAATAAAATAACGTGCATCAGAAACCCGTAATGTCTAATGTATGTACCAAGTTTGAACAGAATCCATCCATAAATGCCAGAAATGCTTGATATTTAAATTTGAACATAATCAGTCACAGCAAGTCAGAGATATGAAACTAGAACCACATTTATCAAAACAAAATGGTTGCCAGTTGGCCATTTTGAACCTTATCTGAAAACAAAATGATGTGCATCAAGGTCCAACGTATATATACCAAGTTTCAACAAAATCCATCTGTAAACAGCCGAGAAATGCTTGATTTTGATGATTTTTAGAACAAAAATAGCCGTCATTCGGCCATCTTGAATCAGGTCGTGAAACAAATTGATGTGCATATGTATAATACCATGTATGGTGTATGTGTGAAGTTTGATTGTGATTGGTCCAAGCATTTCTAAGATACAGGTCCGGACGCACGCACGGAAGCACGGAGGTCAAAACATAAGTCCTCGTTTTCAGACTGCGTCTAATTTTGAGCATAAAACAGTATTTGTGAAATAAAAATATTCATTCCAAAAATCGGCTTTTGCACTAGTTGCCTCTAGTTTTCTCACAAGAAGTTTTTTTTTTGTAGCTTTACTAAATTTCAATGATAGAATAGTACTACATGTATTTTGATATCAAAAATTGTGTTAATTATAAAAAAGTCATGTACCTTTTTTATTATAGGGATAATATAAAAAGAAAAAATATATTGCCTCAATTGTGATAATTTAGAGTCTTCATAGCCATTTTTTATACTGAAGCACGAAACTGATACATGTACATGACGAACGTTTCACCAAATATTGTCAAATTTTGTTGCCTTCATCCAAATAATTACAATAAAGCAACAATAAATAAAGTGTGATATCACCAAAACATGTCAGACTGAACAAATTCCAATCATGTCTACCGTAAAAACCCTCAAATAAGAGCCACTTTGTAACACTTTCATTTCTGGGTGGTGCTTATTTGAGGTAACATGTTGACAACTTTGTAGCCAGTGGCTCTTAAACCAGGGTCATCAATTTTTTTCATTGTGAAATAGGGAAGGGGATAGGCAAACACACACACAACCAAACAGACAGTAATTATTAATGATGTATCATTGCAATTAATTTATTCTGTAAAATACTGTATGGGAATAACAAAGTCAAATAAATACGACGATTCGACGTTTCATC